CCCCCCCCTCTCCGCGATGGCGCGAGTCTTCGCCCTTTCTCCCCAGCCGCACTGCCGCGCCAGTCTGGCTCAGGGCGATGACATCTGGCGAAGCAGGAGGAGCGCATGTTCCACGACGGCGATGCGGCCCCATTCAGTTATGAAGGCAGATCGCGGGGCGCCGCGACCCGCCACACCATCCCACGCTGTATTTATAGCCCCCGATGCACTCGCCGGTGGCTCGCCGGGCTCTCGCGGCGCTTGTTCGCGAGGTATGCACTGCCCGCGGCTGCCGCGGCGCGCCCCGCGGTGATAGAAGCTCCTGCGGGGGGTGACGCGGTGGTCGAGAGAGGAGTCGCAGCTGGCCCGCCACCGCTGTTTGGCAAACAGACAATCGAGGCGCTGTTGAAGTGCGGGGAATGCACCCCCGCCCGTCCCACCCGGGGCTCACCGCGGGCGCGCGAGGCAGTTCAACCGAAACGTTGTTGAGTTTCTCGGCTCGCTGTTATAATTGTAACGAGCGTGGCCGCGCGACTGAGAGGGTGTTTCGAAATCTCGCTGGCTACGTGTACCTGCTTGCCCTCCCTACCATACTGGTGGGAGGGCCGTCAGGCGGCTGTTTGGTCTTCCCCCATGGTGACTCGCCTGCCGTCTCCACCACTATCCAAGAAGGAAAATATTTTTGAAGAGTCAGCGTCACGTTCACCATACCTGGAGAGGGTTGCAGGTACCAGGACTAGCGCGCGGTGCGACCTCGGGTACGCCTTGGGGCAGGCACGCGGCGGCACGCTGCAGCGGCGCGAGGCCGTGTCTCAGACCGCCTCGCCTCGCCACTGAACACTGAACGGCCCGGCGAGCTGGTGGTGCTTCGGAGGGGCAGTCAGTCGCCGTCCCGTCAGCGTCGTGGGGGGCAGACGCCGGGCCGACGCCGGCGGCCAGCGGGTGGGAGTGCCTCGCGGACCCCTCGGTGAAGATTTCGTCAGTTGAGAGTTTGATTGTACTGCTCGAGTAAAAGTAAAGATGGCCAAGAGAGACAGTACCTGAATTCAGACCACTGGGTATATCTTGAAAAGAAAGTGCTCTTAAGGAAAATCCTCTATGAAATAATAAATGTAGGATGTAATAAATGGCATTTAATGCAAAAGATATTGTGCACAAGACGTCACTGATACACAATTTATTAATTTAAAAAAAAAAGTAAACCCCCTCCGTTTACAACAATAAATGAATTTTGCCACCTCAGAAAGATTCTTGAAATGTAGATTCTTCTGTTGATACTTAAACTTTCAGCCCATGTAGAACTTCGGAAGTTCATTTCCCAAAACACAATGCTTTACACAGCCATCCTTAGTAATGACACCAAGCCTAACACAACCTCCACTGGAACCATCACGAAGCATAGCCAATGTAATAGCTGAAATAAAATGCCAAGATTTTAGTGATTACAATTAATTTTTGAAATTAACTTAATGATTAAACAAGGAGGAAAGAAAACACAAAATTAATTTTGTGTGAATACTGGTACTCGTTCTTTACAGAGACCTTTTCAGTGCTCAGTTGCTTTACATCTATATGGTTGTAGAATCAACGAGTGTTGTTCTGTCAACATGTGTCACGTTTCTCTGAGAATATATATTATTATTAAACATGTACCATATGAAACTGGATGATGACGAAATTAAAAAGAAGGCTAAAACAGGCGCTATTCTCGGTATTCCCTTCAGGTCACAAGACAAGAGCATTGTTGCAAAAGTCGGCGCTTTCAAAAAGATGCGCGTTCCGTGAAAACCAAAATGAAAATGAATCTACAGTTGGCGGCACAATAGCAGAAGCAACATCGGCAGACGGGACTTAGACTGAAAACTTGTGAAATCTGTTAAGAGTTCTCAAAATTTTGCTATTAGACCAAAACAATCTTCATTGCTTCCAGTAATACTAGCAAACGAAGTTTCGAATGGTAGTATTGTCATGTCTGTATGCGCTTCGTGTTCCAAGATGAAGATTCGTTGTGCGGCACGGGTCTATCGACTTAGAACGAAAACCGGCGAATTTTGTTAAGAGTTCTCAAAAAAGTAGTGTCAAACTTGAAAAAAGGTCCATTGTTGGTCACGCCTACAACATTCCCAGTTTCGAATGGTACAAGTATCATAAGTGTACATATTCTGTACTCCGAGCATGAATAGCGTTACGCGTGACATCGCACTGAGATCAATACTCGTTCTTCTACCACTGATTTGGTGCAGGTGGTGGTAAAGAACGAGTAAAAAACAAAACTCTTACCATTCAAAACAAACTTCATGCACTCGTCCTGAGTCATATTTGGTTTGAAATGTTGGTCAACATAGCCATAGACATAAGTACTTCCAGAACCGCCTGTTGCCACCTTCTGGCGGACTTGCATGCCACCAAGAGGAATAGTGTAGACCTATATTCAGGTAAAAAAGTTTTTTTAAAATGGTGCACAAGTAGGATGTTAAAATGGTACAATAGGATGATGTAGGAGTAATAACATACCTGTCCACCCTTGTAAGGATCCCAGCCTGCTAAAATAATACCAGCAGTGATAGAATCTCTGTAATTGTAGCACATGTCTTGAAAGAGAGATGCTGCTACTTCAACCCGAGGTTCTTCTCCAAGCTCCATCCTACATTGGGCAAAAAAGTCATAATTGTATGATTATATATGTAATGATCAGAGAGTATGTTAAAGTAACAAGAGTAGTCATGGACAGTTTACCTATGCATGCCAACATGATAGCGAACAACATCTGCAACTGCTTGTGTGTCAGCTGATGAGCCAGAACGGCAGCAATAAATATTGTCAGTGATTTTGGTGAGCTTATCAGTCACACGGTTTGCAATATATACACTGAAAAGAATAATTGAATATAATAATGCTCAATCTTTCATTTTTGAATTAGTTCACAAATAAAGACTGTAGAAACCTACCCTGTTGTGGATCGGGAGTCAGCACCAATGATAACTCCTCCATCAAACTCAACAGCCATAATGGTGGTCTGAAAAATTGAGAAAACATAGCTCAATCATAGCACATGTACGAGTAGTTCTGCAACATAAGTATTGCCCTGATTATAAGGTCGCTGAATTCACGTTTAAACGAAACATTTTGTAAACATGATTCAGCGTACTTAGGTCCAGTAGGTTATGGTACCACAGCCGGGGTATGTTAAAATTTGTGAAACAACTGAATTAGACGATGAAAATTCTCCACACTCACCCCGGTTCTATGTTCCGCTTGCCATGGAGTAGTTGGGTCATAAGATGGAATATATGGGCTTGCTAGCTCCATTTTTGATGCGGAACTCCTTCCATTCATCATCATCGCCATGTTGAATGTTGACTGTCAACTGTGACTGTCAACTACAAATAGTAGCGCAGGCAGACCAACAAAGTAAACAGAAACACCCTAACACGTTATTCACAGTTCAGGCACCAAAAATCGAATTATTTTCTGAACAATACTTTGAGTGAAAAGAAATGTTGCTAAATATTTAAAATAAATTGTTGTTATCTTAAAATACTGTCTCTCATCTTTATTGCTTATAGAAGATTTTTTACTTCTTCCTTCCCACTTCAAATTTGGGATGTTGGCGTAGGTGATGCCGATGACTGTCTGAACTCCAGTCAGTAAAGATGGAGGAAATCGGCATTATCGTCTCCGAAAAGGTGAGAAATCTGTTAAATTTGCACTTATAGCCCAAGTTATGTTGCACTTTATCCCCTTGGATAACGTCAAATCGATTTTCCAAGTCCGGGGAATGGATTTTTAAGAAATAAATTGGTGTTTAATACCGGTCATCAGGTGTGTAAACGTCATTGGGGTTAGGATATTCTCTTTTCTCTACTTTCGAGTTTAATAGAGTATATCTGTGTCAGATGTCTTTTTATAAAGTAACCAATGTTATTATATTCTCCCCATACCTTTTTTGTCGCAACTCGTCGATTTCGACCTGTACTTACTCCTAGTTATTATCCTTTGTTGTTAGTCCCCTCTAACCTGCTGTTGTAATGAATTAATGCCTGTCATAGCAATGGCTTTTGTGACAGCAACCGTGTCCCATTTGGACCAATGCTTGCATCTAATACTATTTTAAATGTGTTAATTTACATGTTTAGACTTGAGACATTTATTGTCTCATTGAAATCTTTAAAAATGTTTCTTTTTCTGCTTTAGGAGGATCTTAGCTTGGATTCCAAACCTACCCTTCTGCCACAATGTAGCCCCCTTGATGATTTGGATGTAGAGGACCTATACACCAAATTTAAGGTAAGTGTTCAATTTTATTGATTGATATAATTCTGTGACAATCTCCCCCTTTCCTATTTTTCGGGGTTCACATCGTATTTTGTTTTGTTTCAGACTCTTCAACGGCAGCTTGAGTTCCTAGCTGTTCAGGAGGAATACATTAAAGATGAGCAACGAAACCTCAAGAAAGAATATTTACATGCACAAGAGGAGGTTAAAAGAATCCAAAGTGTCCCACTTGTCATAGGACAGTTCCTGGAAGCTGTTGATCAAAACACTGGAATTGTAGGCAGCACAACAGGTAGGAAAATATATACCTGTTTTTAAATATTGTGTTTCTAGTCCTGGTTTCTAACTGGTAAATTTTGATCAAATTTTTCTTCTAGGTTCCAATTATTATGTCAGAATTCTCTCTACTATTGACCGAGAGTTACTGAAGCCATCCGCCAGTGTTGCGTTACATAAACATAGTAATGCCCTTGTGGACGTCTTACCTCCTGAAGCAGATTCTTCAATATCAATGCTTCAAGCAGGTGTGTTCCTTTCAAAGTTCTATAAACTTGCAATATACCCAATTTTCTAATGTGCACAAGTCAAAATATTAATTAATGAAATTATTTCATTTTAGATGAAAAACCTGATGTTCAGTACGCAGATATTGGTGGAATGGACATGCAAAAGCAGGAGATTCGTGAGGCTGTGGAGCTGCCCTTGACCCACTTTGAACTTTACAAACAGATTGGTATTGACCCTCCACGAGGTGTGTTAATGTATGGTCCACCTGGTTGTGGCAAGACTATGCTTGCTAAAGCTGTTGCCCATCATACCACAGGTATTTTGGAAAACCATGTAGTAATTGGAATATTGGAAGTATAGTTCAAAATATCTGCATGTGATTTACTTTTGTATCTGTTTTCAGCTGCCTTTATCAGAGTGGTGGGATCTGAGTTTGTTCAAAAATACCTTGGTGAAGGGCCCCGAATGGTCCGAGATGTGTTTAGGCTCGCCAAGGAAAATTCCCCTGCTATCATCTTTATTGATGAGATTGATGCTATTGCCACAAAGCGTTTTGATGCACAGACAGGAGCTGATAGAGAGGTGCAGCGAATTTTGTTGGAGCTCCTGAATCAAATGGATGGGTTTGATCAAACCACAAATGTTAAGGTAAATATTTCTAGAACTATTCTTCAGATCATTCTTCGATTTTCTTTTTGATATAGCTGTGTTTATTAATCAATGTCACCAATATATTACTAATACATATAATTGAATTTTCAGGTAATTATGGCCACAAACAGAGCTGATACCTTGGATCCAGCCCTGCTCAGGCCTGGGCGCTTGGATCGTAAAATTGAGTTTCCGTTGCCTGACAGAAGGCAGAAACGTCTTGTATTTTCCACTATCACTGCTAGAATGAACCTAAGTGATGAGGTAGATTTAGAGGACTATGTTGCCAGACCAGATCATATCTCTGGTGCTGATATCAATGCAATTTGTCAAGAGGTAAATTTCCTACCAAAGATAATATGTTTATGCCTTATTCTCTTATAATTCATATGGTACTAATGTAATTGTTTTTACTTACCAGGCTGGAATGCATGCTGTGCGAGAAAATCGATACATTGTCCTGGCTAAAGACTTTGAGAAAGGTTACAAAAATAACATCAAAAAGGAAGAATCTGAACATGAATTCTACAAGTAATTTTTTATTAATATTGTTGTGTGGTTAAGATAGATGTATTTGTGTCAGATTGTTTTCTTTTAAAGTAATAGTGTTCATGGATCCATGTAACTAATGGGACTGCTCAGAGACTTGAAAGTATGCTATGTTAAGAACAGATGTAACTGTTTTTTGACTGGAATCTTTATAAGACACAATCTAATAAAAATAATCAACTAAATTATTTAACTCTTTCTGGGTTCCTTTAGTCATCTTAACCTTCATTGAAACAAAATGTTATCATTCACAGATTTTGTATCCTTCCTCGGTAGTTTGAGTTTTGAAGTTTTTCTAGTCAAATTTTCAAAATTGTCCTCTCAGTAGGGCATCACAAAGATTATTTATTTTGTTTTGCTGATTTGCTTTTAAAGAGCAACTAGATGAGGTTTTCTTGGGGATTACTAGGAGGGAGATGAGTTGATTCACCAGATAGAATGACTAATATTTAGTTATTAACCGCAGCAGGGAAGGCCAGATCTTACATTGGTTACTCAGATTGTATACCGGTATTTTGGGATTGGAATTTTTTGTCGTCTAATTTATATATGTACTTCTGTCCAAAAAAGTATGAACCAACTTAATTATTTACTCAGAGATATTTAATACAAGAAAAGAACAAAAAAAGTAAATGTAAATCTAATTTCACACAAGAAAAATATATTCTCTCAATTATAAATGTCAATACTGGGCACTAACATCACATTCTAAATAAACACTATCTTAATAATAATTCTTGACATTTTTTTCTCTGTGAGAGGTCAACCGGGGTTCGGCTCACGGCGAAATAAGCGGGCTGTGTGTGGGAATTCCTTGGTTGCTTTCTGACTAGCTCGAAAAGCGGTGGTGTTAGCAGTTCCGTTTTCCTGGCATCTTGTGAGACCTGAATCTTCATAATCAGTTCTCCATGGTCTGTGCAGTAATTTAACCAGCGTACGGATTCAACCGCCTTGATTCATCATAGGTATACCTCCAGAAGTAAAGAGTTGTTGATCTTGTGGTGATCTGCGCCGTCCCCCTTTTTCGGTTATGTGGGCGGGCTTGCTTCCGTCATTCATGGTGGCGCCTGGCGCCTTATGGCCCCGTACGAGCATGAAACCCGCACGCACGTCTGAATCCGGTGCAGTATGGTATGGTCAGAAAAAGAGTGACTGCGCAGATCACCTACCCGCATGTTCTGGCCACTGTGGTTTGGAAGCGGCTGTTCCCTTCCGATCACCGGAAGTCGACAATGACTACGGTGTGAAAAGCGTACAAGCGTACTTCCGTACTTCCGTCTGTTGATTGATCGTTCATGTCTGCGTTGGGGAATTATGGTCTGGGGGTATGGTTGTGAGCAAAGCGGACTCTGTGTTCTTATGAAGCTGGCTGTCTGGAGCTGCGTCGTGGCGTAAACATGCTCGTGTCACAGGGCGGGCCACCACCTCCACACAGCTGCTTGGCGGGTCGGCCTACCCAGCGCATTGCAGGCGCTCGTCGCCCGTCGCTATGTACTAAACAACTACGGCTACTTCTCTTGTAGGGAAGACTACATTGTGCACTCTTTTGAATTCGGAAAGTGTCCAACGATCCTAATCGCCGCCGTCGGCAGGGGCAGGCACGGTTAGCGTCGCCTCTGGGAACGTTCGCTGTGGGGGGTAGAATCCTGGGACTCTCGTGGGAGCCACCCCTCGATGCGTGGGCGGCTGTTGCCGGCCGCTCCCGGACATTCGAGGCTCACGGAGCAAAGCGCCAAAAGAGGGACGTTAGACCAGCAATATGAGGATCCTCGCCGGATCAAATATTCAACGTTTTCCCCATCTTGACGTTGCGCCCCGCCGACGCTCCCCGGTTGCGCGCTCCAGGCCCTCGAACCTCGGCTCGGCTCGGAGCATTCAGCAACCCATCCCTTTCTGCTTCCATTTCCGCGTCCTGACTCTTTCGGTGCACCGTGAGCTCCTCCATTCTAAAAAGACCGCGTCGTGAGGCTCAGCCCCCGCCCCCGCCCCCGCTTCTCCCGGCCTCGCCACCTTTTAGTCTTTTCCCGTCTCTTCTTGCTATCCCCCCCTCTCACTTTCTCTCTCTCTCTCTCACTCAGCCCCACACACAAACACTGCCGCTTTCTCTGTCTGTCCCACTCACTCGCTCCACTCCACGTCTCCATTTCCGGAAGCTGAGCGGAGAGCACGGAGAGGGAGGCTCCGCCCCACCAGCAGCACGCGGATCGCCTGGATATCTCCAAGTGAAAGATAATACACTCATTTGCTGCCCGCTTTTGCTGCTATGGCGAAGCTTTGGACATGATAATTCGTCGTGGTGAAATACCCGTCGTTTAATTTTGTCAAACACAGCACAGAACACTTTTCAACAACACGTTTCCGCTCGCACTACAGTTCCACTCCCCTCTCATCCCCCTCCCCCGGTCCCTGGCTGCGCTGAGCGGCGCTGAGCTCCCATCCCCCTCGCTGGCACTTTCATTCGTTTATTTCTCGCGATCTGCATGCGGTGCGACGCGGTGCGTCGGAAACAAGGAAAAATAACGAGGAACGCTAAAGAAGGCGGTGGAAGGCGGAGGAAGGGGAAGGGGGGCGAGCAAGTGGAAGCAAATGCTTGACGTTTCAGCAACCTTCCCCTCCTGCTCCTTCCCCTCCCCCCTCCCCTCCCGCACACCATCATCTCCTTGCCATTACCCTTTCATCTCCATCTCCCATCCCACTCGCTCCTCCGGCCTCAGTGCTCCTCCCCCTCCCCCCTCCCGCTCCCCTGCCCCTGCTCCCTCAATTCCTGCCACTCGGCTAGGCTGGGCGGCGCTCACATCTCTGTACCCCTATCGAACGCAGCACCGTCACCAGCACCACATCCTCCTTCTCCTCCTCCTCCGCGACCACCGCCGCCACGGGTGTGTTGAGCGACAGCCGTAATTCATCGCATTGCGACCCTTCTCTCCCGCACCCCGCGGCGCGCACCTCGGCGTGCACATTCACATTGTGATGATGATAACAACTTGTCATGTCGATGCCAGCCGCCGGCACCGGGCGTCCCAGCGGGGAGCGAGGGCGGGGCCAGCGTCACAGACCGGAGTTACGGCGGATTCTTATGTTGAGACCAAAGGGGCACCGGGGGAGCGAGAGCGTGAGGGAGACCAGACCCCTCCCCCCATCCCCCTTCCCTTCCCCCTTTTCCCCGCGCGACCCACCAGCCCAGCGCCCAGGCCAAGCCCGCTCCGGCGAACAATGAATCATTTAAATCTGACACTCGGAGAATAAATTATGCAGGCCAACTTTGGAGAAGAGAGAGATGGCGAGCTGAGAGAGAGACAGAGAGAGAGAGAGAGAGGGGGGGGGGCTGAAGGATAAGGAAGGATGGGATGAGGTGCGCGGAGGTGTGGAATGCTGGTCCGGAGCGCCGGAGCGGCGGGGAGTAGAAAAGCAGGTCTCTGAGCGGCTAAGCGCCGGTGGCCCTGCGGCGCCCAGCTCCATTGCTACGCCAATGGCAGCACCTCCCTCTACTGCAAACACAAAGAGGTAAACGTGGCGTCACGGGGAAATGTAGTATACGTATACGCTGGCAGATCTAAAGCGGCAAGAGAGGAACTCTAAGTGCCAGAAGGGGAAGAGTACCCCCAACCCCCGAACGAAAATGTGCTAGGCGTGTTGAAACAAATCACCACACATTTTTTCGCTTTTTCAGACGCATTTACAACCAACAGGACCTCTGTAAAGGTTTGCCGCTGTGCGTGCGAGCCCACACCTTTACCTACACGTTATTCAGTACGCTTGTGTTGGCCCGCACCCCTGAGGCACCTCGGGCGGAGCGACGTGTAGCGGGCTCGCAGCAGAGCGCCTATCAGGCGGCCACCCCTCGCTCAACTGGGCTCAAAAAAATGGATGAGAAGAGCGATGAGGGGGATTGCAAACGGAGGAAACATCGGACAGAGCTAGAGAGAGGGAAAGAGCGAGTAAGAGTAGAGACTTTCGGACCCATTTGCCGGTGGGAGTAACGCCTCCCCCGGTCGCTCGTTGCAGTGCAATCGGAGGCAGGAAAACCCTCTTTGGCCAATCCTCAAACGAAAGCAGTTGGTCCAGGGGGGGGGGGGGCCTGGCCGGGCGAGGCGAGCCGGGGCGAGGCCTGGTCGGCAGCAGCGGGGCCCGACCTACCGCACCGCACCGAGACTCACCGCGATCCGGCTCCGCTTTTAATCTGATTGGCCACCCATCCTCCCCCGCACTCACCTCCCCTCCCAACCCCCCGGCTGGCTCTGCGTCGAGGATCTCTCGATCCAACAAGGATGATGAAGTGTGGGAGGAGGGTGGGGGATCAGCCTGCGGCCGGGGGAGACGTTGCACCCTACGCATCTTGCGGAGGACGAACCGATCCACTCGCAAGACACAGTCCGAACTTACCTTGATCGTTTTAGCAGATGATACATTTGTAAGTGAAACTTTGAACATTTCACACCACTGAAATAATTGGCTGAGCCTTAAAGCAATAAGAAATAAAGAATCTGAATAAAAATAAGAGGCGAAGCCTTAACAATCGAGTCGAGTAGCCCCCAGGAGTTTGGGAGATCACGGCCCAACTTATGGGGATCCAACCTTCCCCAATGATAAAGTTTACAGGGTTGATGTGAGTCAGAGATATGTTGTTCTGATGAGAGTACAACAAAAATTGCTGCGAAACTAATTCTCGAGCAATTATTACAGTTGGAAAGATAACTGAGGTCAAAGTTAAAATGAGCGCTTGCTTGTACGTAATACGCCTCATGTTGCAGTCTGTGCGTTGGCAAGCCTGCGCATGAGAACGGCATCGTAGAACTGAGGTGTATTTCGTACGCACGAGGAGCGGCGTCGAGTAAATGGGCAAAATGGGTACAAAAAAACTAAGGAGGAAAAAAGGTGAAAATTACTTCCCCATGATAATTAATTGCCAACATAACAAAATCACAAAACAACGGAAACGCACATCGCTTCCGCGACCAGGGATCAGCCTCTTTGTCTATAACAATGCCTAGTTAAGAATGATTCAGGGTGGGTGATCCGCGCCGTGGTTTTTTTTCTGCTTATACAGTACCGGATTCATGCGTGCGGACGGGTTGCATACTCGCACGGGGACGTAAGGCGCCATGGCGAGCGACGATAGGCAAGCCCGCCCGCACGCATGAATCCGGTACAGCATAAGCAGAAAAAAAAAACACGTTGTGTCAATGTG